ACTGATTAACAGAGACAAAGGAGGACACTACATCCTTGTAAAGGGAACAATCCAAAAGGAAGAGATAAAAATCATTAATATATACGCACCAAACACTAGTATGCTATATAAAACAAATACTTATGGACATGAAAAATCATGCAAGCACTAATACAATAGTAGTGGGGGAGCTCAATACCCCACTGTCACAAATAGATCAATCAGAAAAAAATAATGAAAGGCTACAACTCAAACTCTTGAGCAAATGAACTTAACATGTTTACAGAGTGTTCCACCACACAAAATCAGAATACACATTTTTTTCAGCTGTACATGGATTTTCTCCAAAATACTCTACATACGCGCACATAGAACATGCTTAGGTAAGTACAAAGGAATTGAAATTATCTCCTCTATATTATCAAACCGTAGTGCAATGAAATTAAAGATCGATAGCAAAAGAAACTGCAAAAATTTCATAAACACATGGAAACCGAATAACACACAGAAATTGAACACCACACTTCTGAATAACCAATGGGTCACAGAGGAAACTAAAGAAGAAATCAGAGAATTCCTACGATTAAATAACTATAACAATACAACATATTGGAATTTGTGGGACACAATGAAAGCAGTTTTGAGGGAAATTCATAGCAGTGAATACTAATATTAGGAAAACAGAGTGAGCTCAGTTAAACAACCTGATGCTGAACCTCAAGATTCTAGAAAAAGAAGAATGGGACAAACCCAAAGATCATAACGGGGAGAAAATTATAAAGATCAGGGCAGAAATCAATGCAATAGAGACTAAGAGAACAATAAAAAAAAAAAATCAATGAAGCCAGAAGTTGGTTCTTTGAAAGAACAAAATTAACAAACCCTTAGCCAACCTTATTAAAAAAAAAAATTTTAACCACAGAACCCACATTAAAAAAAAAAAAAAAAAAAAAAAAAAAAGGAAAGAAAAGGCCCAAATACATGCAATTAGGAATGAAAAGGTTGAAATTTCAATGGACCCAGCAGAAATCCAGAGGATCCTCAATACCTAGTTCAAAAATCTATATGCCAATAAGATGGAAAATACAGACGTAATGGACGTATTCATACATACATATGAATCACCAAAGTTGAACAAAGATGGCCTCAAAATTCTAAACAATCCAAATATCAATCAATGAAATATAAGACATAATTAAAAACTTACCAACTAAAAAAGCCTGGGTCCTGATGGCTTCACTGCTAAATTCTACAAGACATTTAAATTAAAAAATTAATTAAAAAATAAAATAGAAATAAAAAATAAATAAATAGAAATTGCCACTACTGTTTAAAACTCTTCAATGAAGTAGAAAGAGAAGCAATACTCCCAAATTCATTCCTGGAAACAAGCATCACCTTGATCCCCAAAACAGAGAAAGACCCAACCGAAAAAGAGAACTATAGGCCAGTCTCACTAACAAACATAGAGGAGAAAACCCTTAATAAGATACTGGCAAATAGAATGCAGAAGATCATCAAGAAGATCGTACACCCTGACCGAGTGGGAATCATCCCAGGGAGGCAGGGATGGTTCAACATACGCAAATCAATAAATGTAATACACCATATTAATAGAGACAAGGACAAAAACCACATGATCATCTCAATAGATGCACAAAAAGCATTTGACAAAATCCAACATGCATTTATGATAAAAATCACCCAAAATATTGGAATAGACGGTCTCTACCTCAATCTGTAAAAGCCATCTATGAAAAACCAACAGCCAGAATCATACTAAATGGTTAAAAACTCAAATCCTTCACAATAAAATCAGGAACAAGACAACAACGTCCACTATCACCACTCCTATTCAACATAGTTTTGGAAACATTAGCCATAGCAATTAAACAAGAGAAAGAAATAAAAGGAATAAAGATAGGAAACAAAGAATTTAAATTGTCATTATTTGCAGAGGACATGATATTCAAGAAATCAAAGTCCTCTACTTTGAAAACCATACCACTCTGAAAAAAGAGATTGAAGAGGGTATCAGAAAATGGAAAAACATCCCTTGCTCCTGGGTAGGAAGAATCAACATAGTGAAAAATGGCCATACTTCCAAAACTGCTATAGAGATTCAGTGCAATCCCAAATGAAATTCCAGCAGCATACTTCATGGACCTTGAGAAAACAATCCAATAATTCATTTGGAACAAGAAGAAACCTAGAATAGCAAAAGCAATTCCAAGCAAAGAAGACAAGGTAGGAGGTATCACAATGCCCAACTTGAAACTATACTACAAAGCTACTGTGATAAAAACAGCATGGTACTGGCAGAGAAACAGACCCGAGGATCAGTGGAACAGATCAGAAGATGCAGAAACATCTCCAGGCACACTCAGCCACCTCATCTTTGATAAAGGAGCCAAACACCCTCCTTGGAGGAAAAATCACCTCTTTAATAAACAGTGCTGGGAAAATTGGGTTTCAACTTGCCAAAGATTGAAATGACCTATATCTCTCACCATGCACTAAACTAGAATTGAAATGCACTAAAGATCTAAATGTTAAAACAGAAACACTAAACTGGCTGGAAGAGAGGTTAGGTAGAGCATTGCTTCTCTGCTGGTGGGAGTGTAGACTGGTGCAACAACTGTGGAAATCAATATGGAGACACCTCAACAAACTAGTATTATAGGCCCCATTTGTGACCCAGCTATGCCCCTGCTGGGTATCTTCCCCAAAGAATTAAAAGAATCATAATGCAGTGATACATGTGCATCCATGTTCATAGCAGCACAATTTGTGATAGCTAAAACTTGGAAGCAGCTCAATTACCAATCAATAGGAGATTGGATAAAGAAAATGTGAGTTTTTTTTTTAATATATAAAATGGAGTACTATTCAGCCATAAAGAATGGGAAACTAGAGACATTTTTAGCTAAATCGATGCACACTGAGGTAATAATCTTAAGTGAAATAAATAGGACAAAGGTGTAAATATCAAATAGTTTCTCTAGTGTGAGAAACTGAAAGGATAAATAAGGACTAAAAGGTATAACAGATAATGTGAATTAAGAAGAAAAGGTGCAAAGGGTAAGGGGAACTGGGAGTTGTAGGGGAAAAGAAAAAAGGGAATGGAATTAAGAAAAAGAAAAAAGGAAAACAAAGTCTTTGTAGATAGGGAGGGGTAGAGGGGTTGAAGGGAAGGCAGGGGAATGGGGAAAAAATAAGAACCAAGATGGATTATGTAAAGGTACAAATTTCCAATGATGAATGTCATTATACTATATACCTTAAATGTACCAATAACACTAATTTTAAAAAAATTAAAAAGGAGCAATCAGCATTCCTTTTAAGACTTGCATTTGGTTGACAACTCTATCAGATTCAGTTTGTAACAAATGAAAGAAAACACGTGTACTTTATAGTTCAGAAATTTTGCATTTTTCCATATCCATACACATATTTATGAATGTATATACAATTTTTTATGACTAAAGAAAAAACTAAAAAAAAAAGACATCACAAAATATTTAAGCTTGTATGTCTGAATACATACAGTGGTACATTGGTTTATGAATGTTTGGTTTGCAAATAGAAGTGTTTGGCAAAATTTTGTTTTTGTTTGCAAACTCTGTGTTGGTAACAAACACAACCCCAGCCACTTTTTCCACACAAACTCAAACATGGCCATCGTCTCCAAAATTGTAGAACAAATTAAATTTGTGAACTGAGACACCACTGTACTTTGAAGTTAAAAACTGAAGTAATAGCTAACCCACCATTACTTCTGTGCTGAAACCATGGACTCCTAAAATTGCTGGTTAATAAAGGACTAAATTTTAAGAATCAGGACATTTAGGAATTCCAATCCAAACTCTATCCCAAGCTAGATTCTAAATGACCTAATTTAGCAAAGATCCAGTAAGAATTTTCCACATTCAAGAGTCAGTGTTGCCTGCTGAGGGTGATATAAATATACCTGATACCTTCCTTCAAGGATTTGATAGGACTGAAGAAGCTCCAAGGAATTATAGGCAATGGGACAGAATAATAGCCTTCCATCATAAGGATTATGAGAAAATCCTATTAAAAAGATGAGTCTTGCAGCAAGATAAACTACTTCAGTAAATGCTTAACTAAAATTTGAGCTGAGCCTAGACTAGGGATAGTGAACTTTTAGAGATCAAATGCCCAAACTGCAACCCAAAACCCACTTATTTATTCCAAAATGCCAATGCTGCAATTAAACCTGAATGCTGGGGCAATGCTCGGCCAAGGTGTCTCAAGTGCCCACCTAGAGGCCTCTGAGGGTCTGTTGCAATGCTCAGGCCACAGGTTTACCTCCACTGGCCTACAGCAACGTGTCAGATTTGGACAGGTGGCAATGAAAGAAGACATTTCAGGCAGTGAGAATCAAATGTACTACAGCTTTTCCCGACACCGTCTGCTCATCCCATGCTAGTTAGTTCCTCAAACAGGCACCCTCTTCTCTGGGCCTTTGCATTTGCTGCTGCTTCTGCCTGGAATGGTCTTTCCCCATATTTTTTTCAAAACTGGCTTAATCGCTTTCATCTCTAGTCTTCTTAGTGAGAACTTCACTGGCTATCTCACACGACAAACATAGCTCTCCTCACACTCCCTACCACCTTTCCTGGCTTTATTTTTCATAGCATTTATTGTTAGCTGGCATGTTACGAAGTCTACAATACTTTTTACTGGCTGTGTCTACCTCCACCCCCAAGAGAAAGAGGTAGATCTATTTGATCATTTCCATTGCCTAAACATAACAGGCAGGAAGCAAATATCTGTAAGCAGACTGATAGGCTACAATCTAGAGGGGGGAGTGAATATGTAAATTGTCTTGTTATTCCCGAAAGACAAAACTAAATATACTCTTCGCAAAATCCCAATTTATAAAGATTAATATACAGAAACAGCTTCTGGCATCTCACTTCTATATATAGATCTTTTCATACCTTCTAGATCCATAACCCAAGCAGCACTGCTACTCATGAAACAGCCAACATTACCAGCAGAGTTCCCCCTGCTACCAGAACTGCCTTTTCCAACATTAACTTCACTGGTACCTGCTGAGTGGAGGTAAAGGGTATTCTTCCTCCCACTACCAGACAAAAGAAAGTTGTAGTCCTAAATTTTCAAATTAAATCCGTATTTCAATAGACAGCTATACTCTACACTACAGGGGTAGTTACACTTATCATGGATTAGCCAAAGAACCTACTGTTTAGAATAATATTTAACTTATAAATTTAGATACAGAAGTAAACTTTTGAATTCAATTTCACTGTTGAAGCACGCTTTTTCTACACTGCAAATGGATAGCACTGGTAAAATAATTAAGTGGAAGATTTTGCCAACAAAGGCTAGTAACATGGTAAGGAAATGAGTAATAAAATTAATGGCATTTTTTCCCATTCAAAATGATCAAGTAGAATTTTATTCCATATTTAAAATTTGTATAGAATTTTTAAAAAGAGCATTAGAATGTAGGTTATAATAAATTAAAACCACACGGCCCTAGGGGAAAAATTCTTTATCACCAGGAAAAGCAAAACTATGTAAGGAAATAAAGAATAGGTTCAAGACTTTGCATTTCAAGCAACACCTCCACAGACTGCATAATCATTTTAAGCAAACTGACATTTTCACATTTAATTTTTAGTGATAGTAATGATTTCCATCTGGACTTTAACTGCATAAAAGTGTTAGTCCTGGCACAATTTCAACATTGAAAGTATATTTCTGGCTTAAGCAAAATGCCTTAATCCAACAAAATACTTATACTGCAAATTAATCCTACCATTGAGAGCCCAATTTCGTATTTTACCTGGTGGCGAATTCTGCCCTCGGATAAGCATGTAAGTCTGTAACCCTTTTTCAACCATTACTACTACAAAACCGCCTGCACTTAACAATATCAAAAGATATCTACAGCTCTAAAAGAGTTTTTACAAATACCGCTATTCTTTACAAATAGAAGGAAAACTAAAAATTAAAGCAAATTCCCGTACGTAAAATACTAATGACAAACCGGAAGCCGAAGTCGTAACTTTCAGGTGTAGCATCACAGGTCCAGTCAGCCAACCACAGCTCACAGCCGAGGTAAAGCCCGGGGGTCGTCGCCCTCACACCGTGACAGGAGACCCCGAAAGCCGCCCGGGGAGCGGGGAG